ATATCGTCCCGTATGGCGAGTCCCCTGAGGCACAGTGCCTCACTGTTCCCACATGTTACACGTCGAAACCCACCCTGCGTACGTAGAGTACTACGGTATCACATAGTACTCGCAGTGACCCCGCCGTACATTTACCCACAAATCAGCAGCCGATATCAAATACACGCGACGCAAATTCATGTAAGTGAGTTATTTATTGTATAAAAGCAAAAGGAATTGGAAAATATGTACAATCATAATGAATGTCAGTGCCAGTATATACATGGACTTCAGCATATGTTATGCCGTTCAGTTGGCCGTTCCAAAAGTCCCTGTATCGATGGCTGGTTCCTATCATTGAAAAAAAACAATTGTTAGGAAGACACATGGTCGACGGAAGGGAAGTAATGCTTTAAAATTTAAATGACAATTTTAATACTAATTAAGTTCGCTACAGCAGCATGAATATTTAGCCTTAGATATGTAAATTTCATTGATGGTAATTACCGTGTCTTCAGATGCAGGCAGTGTGGGGCAACGCGTATCATCGCTAGTCCCTCCATTTGCCTCCCGGCGTTTAGCCCGGCCGCCATACCGGTCCCTTGATCCATGAGACCAATCAATGACAGTCTTGCGAACTATTTTGTGGCCGCAATCACCAAAGGTAGGGTTCAAGCGAATGGCATCTGAAGTGTTAACAAATGAAGAAATCTTACCACATAGGAGTGCATATAATGGACTACAGACAAAGGATTGTTATCCGACTGACCCTTGATATTGTGTATCGGTGTTAGCCAGAGTGATTACGGCTTATAATTACTTTGGGTATTCAGTAAAAAACGATAAACGATTTGTACAAGTGGACTACGAGCACCAAGGCTAAATAGTACATACATAGACAAACAAGTCCACTACTTGAACTCGCTGGTGATTAGATACCCAAACAATTAGCATAATATACATAAATTAACTAAGACAGCTATCAAGAGCATGAAAAAAGCATTCGTTGACTCACGATATTATCCACAACCGATTGTCAAATATCAGAATTAATAACATGTAGTAGGCGGGTCACTCACTCGTCCTTTCTTCCCTACTGCGATGATCTTTGCGGCTGCTGTTTCTTCAAGGATTGGCTTAAGCTCAGTACTGTACGTCACCTCCGAATGGCATGGATCTTCAGCGTCACTCATTCTTCAATCAGAAACTCAAGCCAGTGCGAAACTCAGTAGAAGGAAAACGGTCTGTACGCAAATGATTTATATAGTGAAATAAGGTATAAAGGGACGGGAAGCGTATAGTCTCAACGAAGATGGGGGATAACGGCGGTCAAAGGGAACTATTAAGCACCTCACTGCTGTGGTTCTTGGGTAGGTACTACGTTCACTGAATTCGTCTCCTCGATTCCGTTTCAATACTCCTTCTTATCTGTAAAGTGACGAAGAAAAAGGCTCGTCCGAAGCACAGCACCACAGATCGCCGTTTTTGTCTTCTTTTTTGACTTCCCGCCAACTTCACCCAGCCTGACACTACGCACTCCCTTTCCTTAGTTGGAGCCCTGTCCGCAGGCCTCGCCATTAGCATGGTCTCTATTATTTCTTCGCTAGTCGGAAAGAGTACTAAACTTGGAGGAACGATGGGCAAGGTGTCCTCTGTAGTCGTAGGTTGGCGTCCCCGGTATGGCTTAATCTTATCAAAATGCGCGGTGAACTTTGGGCCATCAGGGTATGACGCGTCCCGAAGTACGTAATTAGTGGGATGTAGAACGTCTACGACTACGTATGGCCCTTCCCAAGGATTGAAGAACTTTGCTGAAGTGCCAAGGGGGGTACTGGTCGGAAGCGCCACACTAGGTCGCCTAATCGGTAGGGAGTACCATGTATTCGGCCATCGAAGTAGTATTTTGTCTTTCAGCGGCTGCTCCGAGATGATCTCTTGCAAGGTTGTGGGTTGTGCGTAGTAATTCTTGTAGTTGCCACATATAGTCGTCTGGATTGCATTCGTTGGGTGCGGCTACCGGCACGCGGCAGTCTATCGGTAGGCGGAAATGGCGCCCTGTAAGCATAAAGAAAGGGAGTATCCCGTCGAGGTATGCTCCGCGGTGCGATATGCCATCATCACGCATGGTAACTGTTTGTCCTAATCGTGGGGACGGTTCTCTTCAGCAAAGGCCTTTGTAATTGTGTCAGTGTGCGGTTAGTTCTTTCAACTTGGCCATTGCCTTCCGGGTGAGCAAAGGTAGATCGTGTCTTATAAATGTCGAGCAAGTCGCACACATCTTGTAATAGTTTACTATCGAAATTCGCTCCGCAGTCTGAGTGGACGGACAGGGGCGCTCCGAATCGGCAGACCCAGTTGTTAAATATCGCGGTAGTTACCGACTCAGCGTCTTGGCGTAGAAGGGGTACTGCCTCTGCCCACTTGGTAAAATAATCAACCATTACTAATATAAATCGATGACCGGAAGTAGTGAATGGTAATGGGCCGATAATGTCTAGGCCTAGGCGTTGAAACGGGAAACCTGTGAACATCGGCTGGAGTGGTGTTCGGTGCCGTTGTTGAGGAGCCTTGAATGTAGCACATGTCTTGCAAGTGTTGCAAAAGATGGCCACCTGATCGCGGAGCTGAGGCCACCAAAACCGCTGGCGAGCTGCGGCTTCGGTCTTGTTCCGTCCTACGTGTCCTAACTCGGCATGCAGATCTGTGAGCACTGCTTGTACCAAGCTTCCTGGGACTACCACTCGGCTGTGTCTCGTTACGTTGTCTTTAATTAGTAAGATGTCGTTTTCGATAACGAGTTGTGACCAGTGGTTACGGAAAATATAGGCTGGTTCGGACGAGCCACGTAGTTTAGTATCGGTGGGTTGGTGTTGACCACGCGTCAAATGGTCATAGACTACCGCGGTGTCCGTGTCCGTACTCTGAGCCACTGCCCAGTGGTGTCGTGTCGGCTCGCTGGCGTAAACCGCGTTGACCTCGTCCCTCGGAGTGTTGTCTGCCCTGATTTCCGTATAAGGGGGTCGTCGAGATAGGGCATCCGCGTTAGCGTGTTGTTTACCTGATCGGTAGATGCAAGTGAACTTGTACTCCTGTAGTATTTCTTGCCAACGGGCGAGTTGGCCTTCCGCGTCCTTTGTGCTCTGCAGCCACTGTAGAGCCTGGTGGTCGGAGCGTACGATAAATTTCCTGCCCAGCAGGTAGGGGCGAAACTGTTTAATGAATGTAATAATGGCTAGTAATTCACGCCGATATGTGCAATAATTGCGTTGTGGTTTTGACAAGGTTTTACTCGCAAAGCATAACGGTTTTTCTTGGCCACTGTTATCCGCCTGTGAGAGTACTGCGCCAATAGCGAACGCGCTAACGTCAGTATTCAGGATGAAATGGGGTGCATCCGCGGAGACATCAGGAAGTCTAAGTATCGGGGCTGTTGTACGGCGGGCTTTAAGGTCGTCGAACGCAGTTAGACACTCTTCTGACCAAAGAAATCTCCGTCCTTTCTTAGTCCGTCTATGCAACGGTCTCGCAATGCCGGCAAAATCGGCGATGAAGCGTCGGTAATAGGAAGCCAATCCGATGAATCCTCGGACCTCCGTGGGGGTTTGTGGTGTAGGCCAGGATCGTATAGCGTCTATCTTCTCTGGGGCGACGCGTATGCCTGCTGCGGAGACCTCGTGGCCCAAATATGACACCTGATGGCGGAGGAACTGACATTTTTGTGGGTTCAGACGCAGTCCGGCTTCATGTAATGCCTCCAACACCGCGTACAGATTTTTGTTACGCTGTGCGATCGTTCTACCGAAGACGATCACATCATCAAGGTACACCAGACATTGTTGGGGATACAAGTGCGCTATTACGACCTGCATGAGTCGCTGAAAGGTAGCGGCTACATTGCACAATCCAAACGGCATAGTCTCGAACTCGAACAATCCTTGTGGCAGGATAAAGGCCGTCTTCTGACGATCTGTAGGTTCCACCTCTACCTGCCAATAGCTTCACTTGAGGTCTAAGGTGAAAAACCACTGGGATCCGGCCAATGCATCCAAGGTACATTCTATACGCGGTAATGGGAACGAGTCGCGTGTCGTGACCGCGTTTAGGCGTAGGTAATCGATACAAAGCCGCAGTTTACCGTCTTTCTTGGGTATCAATGTCACTGGGGAGGCCCACGGGGAGTGCGACGGTCTAATTACTCCCGTAGCTAGCATGTTATCTAATAGATCGCGAACTTCATTTTGGTACTGGACAGGAATCTGGCGCGGAGGTTGCCAAATGGGCTTAGCAGAGCCTGTCTCGATGGAATGCCGGATGCGGTTCGTTCGGCCTAGGGAATACTCGTCCCACGCAAACACGTCCTCGAAATCGAGTAGTAGGACTTTGAGGGACTTTGACTTCTTCACAGTAGAAGGCGGTATTTGCACTGAGGTCTGGATAGCCGCACATATGACTGCGTCATCGAAAACTATCGCTGACGTCATGGGTTCTTCTTCCTTTTTTGTGCTGAACTGCACCGTTCGCTGTTAAACGTCTATCTGACAGCCGTGTCGTGCTAAGAAATCAATTCCGAGCACCAAATCCCATGTTAATTTGGGGGTCACGATGAAACTGTGGCTGGACGTGCTCTGTGGGAGGGTTACGTCAAGTGATACGGTTCCTATATGGTTCATTCGAGAACCGTCTGCTGCTGTCAGCCGAATGCACGGACATGCCGGTCTCCTGATGGCGTATAGCTGTTTTGGTATGATTCGTGGATTAACTCGGGAGACTGTGGCTCCTGTATCTATCAGCGCATAAACTTCTTGGTTGTTAACTAATAATCGAGCATAGAATGGAGTTGCCTTATCGTGGAGATCGTTGAATGAGGAAATGGACAGTGTACTTGGTGTATGGCTGCAGGTGCACGCCTGGTTGCGGTACGGCGGACGACCTCCGGGTCTACGGAAAGGTCTACCTTGCTGGTTATGCTGGCTGGAGTTGGGGCCTGTGAAGCGTGGTCTAAGAGGGAGGCGGCCCCTTACCTAGGCTAAGTCAGGTCGACGCCAATGGTGTCGATATGAGTGCTTTGGGTGGCCCTGAGTGGCGCTGTCCATCATGATATAACGTTCTGCTCTGTGTATTGCATCTCGCAAATCACCAGGCCGTTGAAGTACACGTGACCGTGACAGTTCGGAGGACGGTAGGGCTTTAATTAAATAATGAAGCACAATGTCATCCTTATCCTCAGATCCTAATGAAGGAAAAGCCACAGTTGTCAGGCGTTCAAGATCCTGCACCAGCTGGCTCAGGGTTTCGTCCTGTTTCAATCGCCGTTCCTGCAACTGTTCCATCGCGTCGCCGAAGGAGTACGTTTGGCTGAACAAGTTAGCCAGGCGTTGGCAAAGCGCGTCAAAGGGTAGATCGGCGTCAAGGCCAGCGTCGAGCGCTTTATCTAACTGTTTAGGCGCAAGGGCCTTGAGTAGCGTCCAGGGCCTGTCGGCCTCTGAGATCTCCTGTAAATAGAACTTCGCGCGTCTGAGCCACACCATAACAGACTCGGTACCATCGAAGGGTGGTATCTCGATGGTGCGCGTTGTGTTTATTTTGTTTCCAGACATGTGCAGGGGTTGTGGGCACGGTCGTTGCGCTGCCACCACTGTAGTAGGCGGGCCACTTACTCGTCCTTTCTTCCCTACTGCGATGATCTTTGCGGCTGCTGTTTCTTCAAGGATTGGCTTAAGCTCAGTACTGTACGTCACCTCCGAATGGCATGGACCTTCAGCGTCACTCATTCTTCAATCAGAAACTCAAGCCAGTGCGAAACTCAGTAGAAGGAAAACGGTCTGCACGCAAATGATTTATATAGTGAAATAAGGTATAAAGGGACGGGAAGCGTATAGTCTCAACGAAGATGGGGGATAACGGCGGTCAAAGGGAACTATTAAGCACCTCACTGCTGTGGTTCTTGGGTAGGTACTACGTTCACTGAATTCGTCTCCTCAATTCCGTTTCAATACTCCTTCTTATCTGTAAAGTGACGAAGAAAAAGGCTCGTCCGAAGCACAGCACCACAGATCGCCGTTTTTGTCTTCTTTTTTGACTTCCCGCCAACTTCACCCAGCCTGACACAACAAACACACACAGCTTGCAAACCGGTTGACCAATAATAGTTTACAAAATGAGGGACTTAAACAAAACCTCAATATATTGTGCTCATTCGCAGCTACATTCAGTGGGCGAAAATGCATGCTTTCTCCATGATTTAAAAGCCACTTTTGATAAATACGCTCCTTTTAATGCCAAAAAAGTACAGTGAGTGGTACTTTTGAAACATAACTTTCGATTCAAATACGCTTCAAAGCAGAGGGGGCTCTGGCCCCACCCAGCCCCTTCCAGCCCCGCCTATGAAGGAGCCATATGTTGGCAGGCGGGGCTCTGACCCCATCCAGCCCCTTCCAGTTCCGCCTATGAAGGGGCCATGTGCTGGCAGGGACGCGCGCCGCGCCTCTAGACTCCGATTTCAAGATGCATGGAGATATTAATTTAAACGATGCTATTTTAAGATGCAAACGCCTTTAGCACTTGTTTTTGTTCATAAAGTTTCTCTAATTATAATCTTCTCTTTTAGACTATCGGTTGACATTTTTATTTCCAATGTTGCTGGTTTGTGCTTGTTGTTTACTATTTGTATTCTTTACTTCGCATATATTGCTTGAAAACTTACTCTAACAGTGAACATGTTTACAACTTTAACTCTCGCTGAAATTCGATTGAGAGATCTGGAGTTTTAATTTTTTCCGACATTCCTCAGGATAAAATGACAGCAAAAGCCACAGGTCAGCAAGAGCTCCGACCTCTTTACCCGGCCTGAACGAATAAAATCTTGGTCAGAAAGCATTAATAGCTCTTTTTAATCATCTTTTATTGATATACAGCTTCATCTGCCTGTGCTTTTCGACTACAACGATGTCAGGCTGACGTTAAGCACTATGACCCCAATACCATCAAAATTGTTCGACCGAAACTTATCTGATGTTCCCTCTTAAGAAATTGAACTTCATGAATTACTCGTCAACTTGGTTGCAGCGAACAAGTGATAAATAGAAAGGCTCATATCTTCTTGTTTAAAATTATTCCTTGATCTACACAAACAGTTTTCGTTGCGGTTGATTTCCAAAACTTATGTGCATTATACTATAAAGTAGCAAATATAAACGTCTGTCACCCTATAGCGAAAATCAACCTGTCTTTTTGAAGGAATTTTTACAAATACAGTTTGATTTAATATTTCACCAAAGGTGATCTTTCTCATTTGTCCTGGTTATACTTCCGTCGAGGGTAGAACTGCATTTCTTTTCTCACAATAACCATCGTCCTCTCAGTGAAATGCCCACCGATTCGGCGCAGTACACCTAACCGTAATAATCCGGTTAATCATACTTCTGCGAAGTCTAAAGCACTGCTTCACCGTACTCCTAAACCCTTGTTTGGAGTGCCTGCACTGCCAAAAAATAGAGCTAATCAATCACGGGAGGCCATGCGCGTTTTATCTACTGCGCTGTCATCTTTTACGTGTCGCTTCTCCATTGGCCTTACCTTTCGGGCCTGATCGATCTGCATATTCGAATTATCGAACGGCTCGTTTGGAATGTTATTCCCGGAGGGCATTGAACCGAATGCCGGCGAAGCACAGTAGGGCGTTGTAAATATGCCCTCCTTCCAGTTATTTTTGACTTGCAATTTCATAATTTACATTTTCGTGGCCGGTCACGTTCTCCTTTCGTGCCGCGTTAGTATTGGGGACAAGGGTCGAGTGCGTATACACTCGCAAGCTTTCAAGTACCGGGCGGCTCATAACAACCTTCGTCACAAGCAAACCATTAACGCTTTCGTTCGCCTCCAAATTCACAGCAACCCCAGGTGTCGTTCCTAATTCTCCTATAACCACTCTTTAAACGCCAAATCCGACTAGATTAGCGAGACCCTTAGCTTCCCCACTTCAACGGGTCCCTCCGAGTTCTCCACTCAAGTCACTTGTTGCATTACGTCAGAAGGATTTGATTCGAAAACCAAATCCCGAGGTGACTCAAAAAGTCGGGTATCGTAATTCAATTTAGTGTTATGCCGCCTTCTTTTGGATTTATTATGGGAAGCTTTGAGCATCTGGACGTCTCTACTGGACTTCGTCGGGTCCCAGAAGTTCATCTGCAGCTAAAAGGTCATGATTTTTAGTAGCCACTTGACACCCGACTCGATCAGAAGTGGCCTAGTTCAAGGCACGTTTTGGGGTCGGCCTCACTTCCTTCTTTACTTCAATTTTTTTGTGACTGAAACTATAAATTCCAATTTTTTGATTTATTTCGACCACCTCAGGTTTGTTTAGTCACCTTCTAGGGATACTTACAATAGGTGCTTTTAGAAAATTAACTCCCATGTACTATGTTTGCCGAAGAGGAGTTCCACATAGCTAAGTCGAAGTGCGGTCTTATGTCGCTTGTCTCAGCCAAGCTTCCGTATGCTTCGCCATAAACGACCATAATTTATGTTATACAAACAAGCTTACGTAACTACCTCGTACAAGTATAATCTCTGCGAAAGCTGCACTAATATGACGGTTCATTTCACGTGCGATTTACCTTCCGAAAATAAAGCCAAGAGTTAATTATGTGTTTGTTTTTTTCATCTTCGAGAATTCCGGGCATTGACATTCTTAATCCGTGAGAGCAGCTTTATGTATTGTGCAGCTCCCCCGTGATAATTCCGCCGCCTATTTACTGTACATCTTACCGTCCATCCTTTTGCATAGAAGCATGTCCTCATTTAGAATAATCTTTCACCAGGACTTAGGTCATTGCCTATGCGAACAGTATTCAAATCAAAATTACGCAAGAGCCTTACTTTGGGAGGCATAAAATCACTGCTGACCGTTTCATTCAATAACGCTCTACTTTTTGAATTTTTAGGGGTTCCCTTGAGATGTAAATTTTGATCAAGTAAAACCCTCACTTTTGTTTTACAAATCCCTGCTTTGAATTGACTGCTAAATCCGCTGTCTGTCCTTATCCCTGCAGCGACGATTTACGAGGTTCTTGATTTCCTCTCTACATTCGACCGAGAGCGGTCTGTCGACGCTCACAGCGGAATCTTCTGTATTTGTCATCAACTCGTAGACTTGTTGGTTAGTAAACAGATCCACGCACGTCTTGATGACAGTCTGCGCCTTTAATTTTCCCCCTCGGGTTGACTCGAAGCGGACTGTGACTGATCGTGCCTGACTTCATTCTTCCCGCTTATCTGACACGAAACGCCTCATCCCCTTTGTGAATTCTGCCTTCGCGGAGTTCGGTTCGAATTCCTTATGCACTTACACATGCAGGCTATTCCAGGTCAGTTCGCATACTTATCCCTGCAAAAGAGACAGTTCTGCATCTATAAAGTTATTCCGGTCATATTCATTCATTTCATTCGTAGGGGAATATATCATCGCTTGTCAATCATTATTCACATAAGAAGTCATTGTCAATAAGCATAAACTGAATACTGTTGAAGAGGTTTGCACATGATTACTGGGACAGTAGGTGCATCAGTCTGAGCTTTCAGTCTTAGGAAGCCATCGTTTAGGACTTTGAGAATGCTACGTCAGATGAGCAGCCTTTGCGGTTAAACAAAGAAGGAGGCATAGCAATGCAGGGGATGGTGTTCGAGAGAAGCTGACTTGCAAGCCGTCTCAAGGCTGTGTGACTGCGTGCACCTTTGACTGGGAATTGGCCCTCGTCTCTGGGGCACGAGAAAGGAGCGTGTGATGGCAAGCGGGGTAAATAAACGTGTCTGTTGATAGAGTTAGTGCCAGACACCCAGGCCTCCAGCAGTTCTCGCCCTGTCTTATTGCTGGCCCGCGTTACTGTTCGCGTGCTCGTGAAGTAGATTTCATCGCCAGCTCTGTCCTGTGCAATGGCGAGGGCAGTCTTGACGTAAGACTGCATAGACGATACCAGATTGTTCTAATGTATCTAGTCGGCCTTTTACTTGTGCGATTTTGTTGTGCATGATCTGCGTGATCTTCGTGAACTATTCACTAATACCTTATCCGTTAATCTTAGAATCACGGAGATTTTCGAAATTGTTTTAATGATGTGCCAAGCGGATGAGGGGCAAAGTGAATCCCTTGCACTAAGCGATGCAAACCTTCTCAAATACCTCGGTAACATCTTCCGTCATCGGTACTCCACGAAGTGTGGTTATGAATTTGTACCACTATTAACTGATAAAAAATCTCTTTCGTCGATGACACTGACAAGGCAGAGTCGTTTAATGCATTTCTTGCAAAATATCTTCTTTCCGAGTCCGAACAAGGCCTTTTCGTTCGTTCGCTTTCAGCAAGGACACGGAGTACCATCGATGTTTTCTTAGGTCCCATTAAGAAACACATATTTCGCTTGAAAATTCGCCCAGCACTGTAGCCGACGGGATTCCGATTTCGATTATTTAATAGGCTTTCGACCTTCACGTATTGCTCAATAATTTATAACCTGTTTATGTTTCACAAGTATTCTTTTCGAAGACGCTGATTATCATTCCTGTCTTCAAGTTGGAATCTCGGTCCGATGTCAGTATCTATCGGGGCATGCCCAAAACACTCTGTCTAGCAAAGCTTCTTAAGAAAATTATTTTTAGTGAAATATTTGACTTTTGTCTAGCTTAAAACTGAACGATCCTGCGAAACTTGCCAGTTGACATTTCTTAATCTAATCACTTCTCTTCGTAATAAGCAGCAGTCAGTGGTAGTTGTCTACCTTGATCTTAAGCAAAACCTTCGACAAGTTGCTATTTAGGCGCCTTTTGGTAAGATTGTAAGCTCCTGGCATCCGGCCGTTTCCACCGGACTTCATCAGATCTCATTTAGCCAACCGATATCAGGAAGTTGTGAGCTGTAATAGCTACTCGACACCTCACTTGATCATCAGTGGCGTATTTCAAGGCTCGGCTCGGCATCCGATATTCTTCCTTCTTTGCATCAATGATATTTCGAATGAGCTAAAAAATTCGCAAACATCTTTTTATGGCAATGACGTCAAGTGCGATCACTTATATTCGAAGGAAATTGCAAGCGTTTGGTCTAATAAAATTAATGCCGATTCACTACGCATAAGCACGTACAATTTCATATGGCGGAGATGGTTTTCATCATTCAAGTATAGTTTTGTGGCGGTCAAGGATGTGAGATCAACTTAAACCACGCACAATTAGTTCGTTTCGTCTACTGTCAGAAGTAAGGGAGCTGGGAGGACTAGTTTATTCTGTACACAGGGCAGGTTGCCGTAAGTTGGCTGTTTGCTTGCAACAGAGATAAGCGTCCGTTCTCGGTGAGCGTTAGTCGCGGTGTGTAGTTTACGCGGGAGTGAAAGTCTGTGTCAGTAGGTGGGGGTGTCGGGTTGGATTCTGGTCATGAGATTGGACTGATTAGGGGAAAATTAGGGATAAGCATTATTACAGGGGCTCACGGGTATCAAGCATGGTCGACCGACGCGCATGAGGTGATAATATTTTGTGGGGGCAGCCGGGGGTCACTGCAGCTGGACAGGAGGGGGGCCTAGTTATAATCAGCGGGGTGGTTATGTGTCAGCGGCCTGGCAACGATTGTCGCGGCCATCGACCAACAAAACGGAGCCGGAGAAAAGGAGAACTGGAGCGGCTGCTACAGTTTTTTGGTCCTTCCAAACTTCCTTTTCTATACTTGACTTGGATAATTTATTCGCAGTATACTTCACCATAAAGCATCAAGGTTTAATTTATACAAATAAACTTGCTTTGTTACCTCATGCCGACAGAATCTCTGCGAAAGCCACGCGGATATCTGGGTTATTGTCGCGTGATATTTACCTTACGGAAATGAAACTAAGACATTGCCAACTGCTATTTCTCCCAGTCCTCGATTACTGATGTCTTTTTCTTCGGTTTAATGAACGCTTGTGACTGTAATTAAATTAAAAATGCATGACGGTCTTATCTGGGAACTGTTTTCTCAGGTCAAATCCTGAACTTTTTTTACCCAAAGATGTTAGCTGGCGAACATTATATTTATTGTGGGTTAGGAGACTGAAGGCTGGCTTTTTCTTCTTTTTGCACATTACCTCAAACTACAATCTTTCGCAATCGATACTCATTTTGACGGATTGCTTTTATGCCTTGTGCACTAACTCCATGGTGATCGCGCCGCATTATGCACTACATGTATGCGTTCGCATTTTTCTTTCCATAAATGCCTTCATATGGAATAATCCCTCGCCAGAAAGTGGGTCATCCCTTAAGTAATCGGTTATTGAATCAAAATAATATCAACACCTTATGCAGGCAAGTATTAAAGCAATCTTAACGTCCTCATTCTCTAACACTCACTTCCCTTGAACACAGGAAAAAAAAACCTAAAACAATCTTATCCATTTCGACTGCGCTTTGACTGCATTTGTCTTTGGTGTCTCTTAAGCCAACAGAGCGTGAATTGAATTTGTGTTATGTTATGTTATGTTATGTTTTATGCTGTTTGGGCTCGAGAGAGAGTCCTTAAGGCACAACGGAACGAGTGAGTTCCGTATGAACGATCGGTGAGCGCCCCCTAACATTGTATATTCCCGATCGAAAACCGACAAGGCAACGGGCTCGTGGCCCGGTGAGTAGAGGCGTTGACTTCTAAACCAACTGCTCGCGAGTTCGAGGCTCGGGTGTTCCACACTTCGGGCTTGGGTATGGCTGGCTGACGACGGCTAATAAGCCAGAAATGGCCATTCCAGTCTCCCTTGTCTTTGTCGGTAATATCATTCTGCCTAAAAAACCTATGTTCCAAGGATAAATAATCACGAAAATTTTAAGAAAGAACGATATGAACAACATAAAAATTAAAATGTGCAGTTAAGTAGTTTCTAGTAAGCACAAATAAAATGTCCTTCATGGAAATTGAAGAACTTTGATATCGACCTGACCTTGAAAGCATTTTCCAGCTGGGTAAATTTTGGTGTGTTCTTGTTGGTGGTTGTCTGTCTGCAGCAAGCAAGCTGACAGAACACCGTTCTAAATCGGAACATGTCGTCGAAAGAGGGACAGTGTTTATTAGGGAATGGTAGTAGCGGGAGAGCGAAGGAGAAACGAGACACAAGAGTGCTAAAGAGGAATAAAATAGGTGAAACACAAACAGGCAGCCAGAAGATCGAACCGCACACGTCAAGGGGGAAACCGGAGTTTCGTCCTTTCCAATCAGGCGTCCTTTTCTGTGACCTCACCCGGGATTGGTTCTTCGGCTTTTACGATGTGTAAAGATCAAACAGAGAATTATGAATATAATAAGGGGATGGTTATGGCGAGTTTTCCATCAAACTGCCCATTCCTGTAGGACCGATGTCCCATCGGTACAAGAATCAGGAATATGGCCATCGAGCGGGATGCCAAAACCACCTTCGGTAGTGACTTCCACAGTATGAGAAATTAAAAGGGGCAAAGGACTGGGGAGAGAGAGGGACGTAGGGACTGCTGAAACGGGAGGAGAAGAGGGGACGAAGACGATTGAAGAGGGATCCCTGGGAGGGTGCGACAGCTCCGCGGAGGGGAATGAATGTAAATCTGAATAGACAGGACCGCAAGAGCTATCATCATAGGCGTATTGTTTGAGCCTGTTGAAGTGAGCTGCAAAGGTTGGACCCTCTGGATCGTCAGAGGAAACAAAGGGCTTCTGAAGGGACTTCAACAACAGCGAAAGACACTATCCAATGCGTAGAGAACTTGTCGGCTGACCCAGGAGGCAACATATCCTGAAATCAGAATACTTTGTCGCCAGGTTGGTAAGGTGCACCGTGCGCACGACGATCATAGTACTCTTTTTGTCGCTGATGAGCCGTAGAGAGATAGGTGCGAGCAAGCTCCTGTGAACGGTTTAGGTTAGCTCTGAGGTTTCGCACAAACTCGTGGGGAGGCTCGGGGGATGGAAGTGGGAGGGGACAGGAATTGTCCAGCGGAATATGGACTTCGCGGCCGTACATAAGGGCAAACGGCGTATGACCCGTTGACGAGTGTGTGGAAGAACGGTAGGCAAGAATGCACTGAGGGTGGGCGGCATCCCAATCGGAACCAGGGCAACTGTAAACGAAAGATTCGATCAAACCTCTAAGAACCCGATTCGTGCGCTCTACTTGTCCTTTGCTTTGAGGGTGCCATGGGATAGAACGAGATTTACGAATATGAAGAAGTTCGCAGAGTTCACCCATCAGCCGGGACTCCAACTGAGCATCCTGGCCAGAATGGAGCCGCTCAGCATCCCATGGCGGCAGAACCACTCGCTAAGGATGGCCTTAGCGACAGTCATGGCGTCGGCTTGTGGAAGGGGCACGGCTGCACACCATTTGGTGAAAAAGTCGACTAAGACTAACACATAACGATTTCCGCCGGAGGAAGGAGGCATAGGACCCATCAGATCAACGTCAACAACTTCATTCAGGTAACACGTCTGAATGGGCTGAAGTGGTGCGCGTTGTGTAGGGTTGGGATTTTTGACTTCGGCGCATACAGGGCACGTGTTACAAGTGTCCTGAATGATCCGCCGTTGATTCGAGCCCCAGAAACGCTGACGCGCGGCAGTGTCGGTACGAGGTTGAGCAGCGTGTCCCAGATCAACATGAAGACCGGAAAGTTTGGGATGAATCGCATCATGCGGCAAAACCAAACGTCGGGGGTCGGTGGAAGAATACTGAAGAAAAAGCACGCCGTCACAGAGGCGAAACCTGCTCCACGCTGACCAAAGGCAGCGAGCTTTCCAGCTGGAGCCCTTCATTTCTTCGCTTGACGGTTTTGGCGCACCCAGACGCAACCGATCATAGATAAGAGATATATAGGGGTCTGAAGCTTGAGCCGACGCACACCCTGAGTGGTCGGGAGTGCTAAACGTAATCGCAGTTGGTAGGGCGTATGCTGCGGCCGGTGGTGGCGTTTGTGCTCGACAAGATAAGGCATCGGCTTTCTGGTGCTTTTTACCGGCCCGATGGATGACAGTGTAAGGATATTCCAAAATGTCTGCCCGCCAGCGAGCGAGTTCACCGGTCGGATCCTTGAAGTTTTCCAACTAGCGCAGCGCCTGGCGTTCGGTGCGTAAAATGAACCGTTTGCCGGCGAGATAGTGATGAAATTTCTTGACAGAGGTGACGACGTCCAGAAGCTACTTGAGAGTGGCAGAGTAGTTACACTCAGGCCTGGTGAGCGTCATCTGGCAAAAATGAGGGGATGTTCCAGTCTATCGGTTTGTTGTTGAGACAAGATTACCACAATTGCTATGTCTGATGCATTAATGCCCAAGATGAAAGGTGGGACTGACTCGGATATGTTGGCGAAGGCCAACAGGAAAGGGGTAATCAAACGCCGTTTGAGTTCCTCAAAGGAACGGTCACACTTGTCGGACAAATTAAGTGAGTTCTGCTTGCTCGTGAGACGATTAAGGGGGGCAGATGTGTGTGCAAAATCTTTAATGAACCGGCGGTAATAGGAGGCCAGACCGAGGAAACCGCGCAACTCGGAAACTGACGTCGGTTGCGGCCCACTGCGTATTTGCTCTGTCGTCGCAGGATCCGTCTTAACCCCTTCAATTTAGATGATGTGACTCAAGAAAGGGCCAGACTTTGTGAGAAAACACCATTGAGCCGGGCTCAGCTTAAGGCCTACGGCCTGTAGACGGTTAAAAACGGTTTACAGGTTATCAAGGTGGGACTCGACAGTAGACCCGTGTACTATGACATCGTCCAGATAGACCAAACATGCGGTAGGGCATAAATCCCGTAGGACCGAGGCAATCAAACGTTGAAAGTTGGCATAGTTTCAAATTCATACAACCCAGAGGGAATGGAAAATGCAGTCTTAGGCCTATACTCGGGAACCATGTCCACCTGCCAGTAGCCGGACTGCAAATTGAGTGTGGAGAAACATGCACATCCTGCAAATGCCTCTAGGGTGGTAAGAATTCGTGGAAATAGGAAAGATTCTTTGAAGGTTACCGCACATAACTTCCGGTAATCAACACGTTATCGCAAAGATCCATCTTTCGTTTTAACGAGGACGATAAGAGAGGCCCAAGGTGAGGACGAGGGGCGAATAACGTGCTTGTCCTGCATGTCTTTGATGGTTTGCTCTAATTGTTTCTGGAAATGCACAGGTACGCGGCGGGGGGGGGGTTGACGGAGTGGTCGAGCTGAACCCGTATCAATAGTGTGCTGCAATACATTCGTTTTACCAAAGGGTTCAACATCCCATGCGAACGCAGCGGAGTTTTGGGCTATAAGGTTTCGAATAGCGGTGATCTGTTCAGAGGAGAAACCGGGAGAATCAGAAACCAAATGAACCAGGTCGGAAGGCTGGGGAGGGTGGAGCACGACTGGGTCGCAAAACAGCTGGGGTTCAGGGGCATGGGGAAAATAAAAAAGGATTGAAGCCTACTTAGAGGTGAGTTGACCGGCCGCAAAATCGACGCAGATACGGTGAGCATAGAGAAAATCTGCGCCTAAAATACCCTGCCACTGAATATCCGTACAGACGTAAAAGGGGTGGGTGAACTCAGATGAGCCTTAGCGAAATGCACGTCGACTAGTGACGAGCAGAAAAGTGGCATACCGTTAGTCGCTACAATACGGGAATGTCGATGGCAAATTTTGGTCTGTTGTAGCCAGGTATGGGTGAAACCCTGGAGTGTTAGCAACGAGCAGGCCGCCCCTGTATCAAGCAAGAAACCCCCCTCGCCTGTCTTCAACCGTTGCTTTAACAATGGGAGCAGGGAAATCAGGGGTAGATGTAACAGCAGGAACGGTGTAGGACTCACTGCAGATTTGTGCGACGCGAGCCTGGCGACCTCGGTATGGACGTGTGAGGTTCCGGAATGTCTGGGTCGCCACTGACTGCGATCAATTTTCGGCGGAGGTTATCGTCCAATAAACCGGCGCAGAAGTGCGCGGCGAGAAAAAAATCTGTCAGGCTCGCAGGCTGGTCAGGAAAGGCCGCCAATATCAAAGGGCGAAGACAGCCAAAATAATCTCTGACAATCTCTTCACAGAGCTAAAGACGGGACGAGAACTGCCTGTTCGCGTCCACTGGGGGCTGAGGCATTGCAAAAATGCGCCGAAGAGCCCACAACAGCGAATCCGCGTCGGCGTCAAACTTGATCCCGAAAGCAGAGGCCTTTGTTAGCGCCTCCATCGAGAGTTGGTGGCATATGTACCGTGCACGGTCATTGTCTGCAATGGAGGCCAAATGAACGATCGCTTGGGAGTGACAAACGTCGAAATTGTCCACCAGTTTCGACAGCGGCAGTTTGTCCGTGGAGGATTTCCTTGTCTTCAAGACAGATATAAGAGCTTGGCAAAGCTCCCTTTTGTCCACACTGGCGGGCATTTCGGCTGATTTCGCGGTAAACTGGTCCTAGGACATGGAGAGGAACCGCTGCCACCAGATTTGTAGCAAGCATGCAAGCAGAACACCATTACAAATCAGAAGGTCTCGTCTAAGGAAGATGAGTGTCTATTAGGGAATGGTAATAGCGGGAGAGCGAAGGGGGAACGAGACACAAGAGTTCTCAAGAGGAAGAAAAGAAATGAAACGCAAGCAGGCAGCCAGAAGATCCAACGGCACACGCCACGGGGGAAACCGGAGTCTCGTCCTTGTCCAATCAGGAGTCCTTTTCTGTGACCTCACCCTTGATTGGTTCTTCGGTTTCTGTAATGAGTTGAGATCAAACAGAGAAATATGACTATAATTAGTGGATGGTCATGGCGAGTTTTACCATCGCAAGTCTATCTGGCAAGCTGTAGAGGGGCGGTCGCACATGTCCTTCGTGTTTTTCTGAAGACTTGCAATAATTGTCTGGACTAAGATCTGGAAAAGATGAATATATATCAAGAGTGAAAAACATTCAATGATGATTTGCAATAAAATTTGTCAAAATAACATTGAATCATGTATCATATTGATTCTTATGAATAGACATTATGGAAGTAATAGTCGACTGTTTACTACCATCTAATATAGTTGTATTTATGTTTTATATGACCAATAGAAACTTACGTACAACAGATATTTAGAGCTATATCGAAAGGAAGGTTATTATTAGCTATTTAAGGGATATTAAGTGTCAGGTTATAAAGCTGATAGAAACGATGAAAGGAGGAAACAATGAATATCACTATTCGTTCTATGTTTATCAATGATGCTTTCTTTCATAAATTTGATTGTTTTTTAATGCTGTGTTCCAATGTTATACAAGCGGCTGGTATAATCAGAGCACTTTCGGACCAAATTATATATGGAAGAATTGACTTGAAAAATGTCCTTGTTTATTCAAAAATAAATGTGTATGTTTTTTGAAAGGAATTTCTTAGTTTTTATTTTAAACTCGATTAGGGATCGGCTTTTCCGGATAGAACTCGGGAGAGCATTCTAGATAGTGGCATATCTTATGGTGTAGAAATTCGACCGTTGGGACTTTGTGCATTTTGGTATCCTTATAATATCCTCGTTGTTGCTGGTTTTTCTGGGGGCGTATTGGTTTGCTAATTAATTCATTCTGAGAATATTTTGGTCATGGGTGACCTTGAATAGGACGTTTAGACCATTTTGGAGTCTTCTGATCCAGAGTGGTCGAAGATCGTATTTATGATATAGTTCTAAGCATGAACCTTGGCTGTTTTCACTTCTGCACAAAGATCGAGTGAAACGTATCTGAATGCCTATAGTTTCCTTCGGCCGTCCGAGGGCATTATGCCGAAGAAAATTGAACAATAATCTAGGCAAGGTCAGACATGCATTTTGAAAAGTTGTATTCTTAGTGCATTTAAGGTGAAATTTTACATATGAATCCACACAGGCGAGTGGCCTTCGGTGATATTTGTTGGACGTGGGGAGATAAATCAAGGGTATTTGTATAGATAAGACCTAAATCTTTTACCGATTCGGCCTCTGTTATTTCATTATCCTCGAAAATTAAGAAGGGGGGGGGTGGAGTTTTTGTGGGCCAAAGATCAGGAGATGTCAATTTTCGGGTGAAAAGGGCATCTCTCACTAAGTATTCCATTCGCTGACTTGTCTGAGGTTAGTTTCACTTGTTCTGTGAATATTGGCAACTGTGTTCCTGTTTTATGCATTCGCAAGTTAAAGGTCGTCCGCATATAAAAACGTAATAGCTGATACTGATATGGACGATAAGTCGTGAATATATATGAGAAATATAAGTGGATTGTACCTTGAACTACTCCACTGGTAATAGGGGATGGTTCTGAGACTCGTTTTTGAATTGGTACTACTTGATATCGGTTTTGATGATAGGATATAGGAAAATCGAGATGGAGAAGCCTACATTCACGACTTTTAAGCTTTACCAGTATTCCTTTATGGGGGACTTTGTTAAAGGCCTTTTTAAGATAGAAGATTATTGAAACTACTGTGTTTCCATCATATCTTCTGCCGAAAATGAATTGCAAAAAAGTCAGGTGGTAGGACTGACACGATTTTTATGGTGAAAATGCATGATGAGAGGAGAGAATGGGGTTGGCGTTTATGAGATGGTCAAGTACTTGGTTTAAGACTATTTTTTCGAGAATTTTAGCACAATAGTTTTAGGTATGAGATCCGTTGCCGAATTTAAAGATAGGTGCGATGGTCGAGTATTTCCACGTGTCCAAAAATGCATTTGACTGGAGTAAGTGAATAACTCAGATGGGAGTATTGGAGCATATGGCATATGCTTCAGAATACATGGAGAGATTTTGTCCGTCCCATATAAGTAAGCGTTGGATAGTTGCTTTATGAATATTTTAACAGGTCGTTCACTGCAACGGATCTCCAGAAGGGTGCGTTCAGTCATTTCGCTCAGTTAGGGGTTCACTCCCTCCTCCACTGTGAAGTTAGTTGGGAAATACTTGTTGAATGCATTTGCTATTTGGTAGTCATTTGTAATAACTTGTACTAAGTCATTAATAATTTTTCGTGATCCCGACTGTGGATGATCATTAATTTGTTTTTTAAACATCAAAGCTGTTCGTTCAGGGGATGCCTATGCCCGATGTTCTGCTGCTATGGTGTTTTTTGTTTCCTTATTCGCAACCAGGTCTTGAATTTACTTAATTCGTCAAAATGTAGAAAAATAACTTACAGAGGGGTTTCGTAGCTGTTATTTAAGTTTTTTAAGCTTAAATATAGGGAAGTGTGGGATAAGTGGTTCCTTATAGGGAGTCCTTCGTCTATCAATGTATCTCTAAATATAAATAGGACAGAGTACAAAAGGGTAACGGCTTCAGTAGGTGGCGTTATTAGAAGATACGGGCTCCATTTCAATGACCTAACATAGTTGTTCATGGAGTCTTTGTCAAGTTTTTATGGGTTAAGTCGGGTGTTAATACAGTGGGGTGTAAGTTTTGCATTTAAGGGGAAAGTTGATATTATGGCTTTGTTTTCGCTTTCAAGGGTTACACAGTCGAAGTGCATATGGAGGGGCCAGATATCAGTGGTGAAAATAACGTCTAGTATATTGTTTCCTCGGGTGGGTTTGTTCATTATTTGTGTCACGTTATTAAAGATAATTGAAAATAAGACTTCTTCATGCCTGGTAGGTGACGATGCTTCGACTGAGTTTATTTTTGTGTGGGGTAGGTCGCCTGTGATTATCTTATATTAAGTTTTCATGTAAGATATATCGTTTATTAAGTGGATGAGGCTAGTGCTATCATTACTACATTCTGGAGGGTAGCAGAGGCATCCGACTTGTAGGTTTTCCTGGGCATGAGATTTGAGAATGGCAAAACACGCTTCTCCAGCAAAGGTTTCAGTTGGGCCATCAATACTACTTTGTTCAATGCTAGTTTTGATGTAGTTAAGACAACCTCGTTTACTAGCACGGTCTTGAAGATATAAATTGTAATTTGGGATATATAGCGAAGCATTGGATATAAGTTCATTTGCTCATGTTTCTGTGATGCAAATTATATCGAGGTTACATATTTCAACAAGAGTTCTAAGTTGAGATATTTTATTGACAATCAATCTTAAATGTATAAGAGCTATCATTAGGATGTCGGATATGTTAGAGGTGGACTACGATGAAAATAAGGATTACTGAGTGTACTTTAATTGAGTGATGTACTAGACGCAGGTATGTTTCTGGTTGTTGGAGGATATGGTGATGCGTTTGGCGAAATTTAAGTTCATGAGTTAGTGTGTATGGATTGAGGATACATATGGGGAGGTGGGTAAAGTAAGCGGCGATTGTACCTAAATGGAGTGTCAGTTGAAGAGGTGTAAAAGCAGAAGTAATGTGTGGGGTTTTCATTAGGTGGTAAGAAGCTTGGAATGTTATAGCGATTTGGCTTATTCCTATGTCATGCCGGAGGATTTTGGAGAGTTGGGTTGCGGTTATAGAAGGTTATTTGTTTCTGGTTAGAGTTTGAAAACCTCCTATTTGTTATGTCTATATAATAAGCCGTTTTGTTTGTGTTGGCCTGCTTAATTAGGCCTTCTGGTTTGGTTTTCTTGTTTGGCAGTCCTTTTCTAGTACGGGTTGATCGTTTTTTGGGGACGTAACAAAACTTTTATTTCTATCTACTGGTGTCACATGACTACGTCCGGGATCGGACGTCATCGTTCCATTCTAGTTGAACGTTGTTGTTTTTTGTGCCTCCTTTGTTTCTTTCTGTCCAGCATTCCGAACTGCTTTTGCATTTATGGCTTTCTTGTCCTGGGAGCTAGACTCAGAAGTATCTGTCGGATGTCCATCAACGGGGCTGTTGGTTTATCACTTAGTAAACGGTGGTTTGTGCATGTATTTTTATAAGTGTCAGAAGTAGAGGTAGAAGGTAGAAGTTCAGCTGGGTTACCGAAGCGCAGGGTACCATGTATGTAGCTGGTGTCTGTTTCACGAAATTAACGTCTTTGCATCAGTGTCAAATCTGGAACTATAAATGCGTTTCGATTCCGAAGAATTCTGCTTAAGTCGGGGTTTTGTTGGACAAGCGCAGCTTCCGTCTGTGAGTAGAAGGTTAATTCCACGGATTTTTATTCTAGAGTGAAGTCTTTTCGTGGTTGCTACTCGGATGTTTAGTCCACACGAATGTATGAGTTTTTGAATTGATGGCGCTGGGTTAACCGAGTGTTTTATTGCGGATAATCAAATTGCGGATAATCAAATTAGAGCCCATAACTCTAACAGCTTAGGAGTGATGGAAAGCAGTTCATCCCGATCAGCTCCGACCGGCCTTTGCATTCAATCCCAAGAAATGGATAAACGCCAGTATGCCGGAGTTGCTCGTGCCAAATTGAGATTTTTGTATACCAATGCTCAAAGTCTCGTTTCGAAAATCGACGAACTCAAAGCGAGAGTACCGGAACAAATCCCCGACGTCATCGCCATAACGGAAACTTGGCTTAATGCCGAAATCATGGATGTTGAGATTTCGATACCGGGTTACCAGCTGTTTCGTAGAGACCGTCAAAATAGGCAGGGCGGAGGGGTAGTCGTATATGTAACGGAAGGAATTTCAGCAGTTGAAAGAGCCCACACCCTCTCCCTTGAATATGAATCCGTCTGGATAAAGATAAAGAAGGGCAATGCACAAAATCTAGAATTTCTGGCGATTTACAGACCACCAAATCTTCTGAGTGCAGCTGATGAGTCGCTCCTTGGTTTAGTCAAAGACGTAGCTAGCCACCAAGACGTACTTATTGCTGGGGATTTCAACGCACCTGCAATAGAGTGGGGAACTATGGCAGTTAATGGTGGACCAGCCTCTTTCAGCAATAAGCTACTGGACCTCACACTCGATCTCCCTCTGGCGCAACATGTGAAGGTACCAACAAGATTTCGAGAGAACCAGAGAGCAAATTGTCTAGACCTAGTTTTCACAGAAGACTTCTCTAATATCGACGAAGTGTATTCCAATGCACCTCTCGGGAAAAGTGACCATACCACGCTATTATGGGATTACTCGCTCTTCTCTAAACGCCAGAAGAGAACAGAGGGCCAGCCTAATATATGGAAGGCAGATTTTAATATGATGAAGAACGAATTGCTATCCGTGAATTGGGACCAAATATTCAGGGGAGATCCGGAGGACGACTGGAGATCTTTTAAAACGATTTCACTCGATCTGATTAGTCGCTGTTGTCCACCTAAAGTACAAAAAACAACTAGTCGACCTGCTTGGTTAACTAGGGACCTAAATAAGCAGCTACGGAAGAAAAGCAAAAGATGGAAAATATTCAGGGAAACTGCGTCACCAGCGCATTTCGAAGAATTTCGTCGTCAACGAAACGCCGTCAAAAAATGTATCCGTCAGGCACGGAAGGAGTATGAATCCAAAATTATACGACAGGCTGAACAGAAGCCTAAGATTTTATTTCACTATCTGAACAGTAGACTGAAAAATAAGGACCCGGTCGCGGTGCTGAAGGATGATAATGATGTAGAGATCATTGAGAACAACGAGAAAGCCGAACACTTAGGACAGTATTTTGCCTCCGTTTTTACTAGAGAAACTGAGTTTCGCTGTCGCAGTACCGGCAGTGTTCTTGAGACTGTTGGTCCCGTGCTTGACTCCATACTCTTCCCGGCAGCTGCCGTGGAAAGGGAGCTGAAAAATCTCAAAGAAGCAAAGTCCTCGGGTCCGGACAATATACCGGCCAAATTCTTGAAGGAACTGGCGAATGAACTTTCCAAACCACTGGCGCACATCTTCCGCTCGTCATTCGAATTAGGGAGGTTGCCATCGGAATGGAAGACAGCAAATATCTTTCCGATATACAAGGGCGGGGCTCGCACTAATGCTAACAATTATCGGCCTGTTAGTCTAACCTGCATCTGCTGTAAAATAATGGAGGCCATAGTTAAGAAAGCAACTATGGAGTTCCTGGAGCAGGGCCATTTAATCTCAGACCTGCAGCACGGCTTTAGACAGAACCGCTCGTGTCTTTCCAGTCTATTGCTCTCGACGGAGCAGTGGACTCGCGCACTGGATGAGGATGGGAGGGTTGATGTCATATACACAGACTTTAAGAAGGCGTTCGACAGCGTCCCACACAAACGCCTTATTTACAAACTATCTGAAATTGGGATAAGAGGAACGCTGCTGACATGGATAACAGATTTTCTTACCGGGAGATCGCAAACCGTGTGCGTTGAGGCCTCAAGGTCAACTCCGACTCCCGTTTTAAGTGGTGTACCCCAGGGCTCCGTCTTAGGGCCGTTGCTATTCCTGGTTTACATTAACGACTGCGTCGACGACCTGGGATGCAGCGCCATCATGTTTGCTGACGATGTTAAGCTGTGGAGTCCCATCAGATCTGATGCAGACAGGTATGCGCTTCAAGACAGTCTCAACCGCCTAAACAGTTGGTCAGCTCGCTGGCTCCTAAATTTTAATGTGGACAAATGTGTAGTCCCGAGACTCCGCACCAGACAGACCAGTAAGGAGGACGATTCCTTTCAATATGTCCTTGGTGGTCAGTCCCTTTCAAATGTTGTGGAACAGAAAGACCTGGGAGTCCTTATGACCTCCTCGCTGAAACCATCTTCACAGTGTCAAAGGGCAGCCAAAAGTGCGATAAGGGTGTTATTTGCGCTGAGGCGAGGATTTGTGCAGATCGACAAGGAGCTGTTCGGAAAAACCTATGGGGCATTCGTCCGGTCTCACGTAGAATATGCAGTCCAGGCCTGGCGACCGTGGTTAAAGAAAGATTATCAACGACTGGAAAGCGTACAGGCGATGGCTACGAAGATGGTCAAGAATCTTCATCATTTGCCTTACGAAACCAGGCTGACTGAACTAAATCTGTTTCCTCTAAATTACAGGCAACTGCGCGGCGATCTCATTCAAACCTACAGGATTGTCAGAAGCCGTGAGTGTGCCCTAGATTTTGATGACTTCTTTGAATTGGCCCGGACTGACCGTCTGCGTGGTCATCCGTTCAAACTGCAAAGGAAGCGGGCTCATTCGGACGTCCGACGGAACGCCTTCTCACACAGGGTCATCGGGCATGGAATGGACTCCCTGATGCCGTTGTTCTTTCCGAAAGTGTTAAATCCTTTAAGTGCAGACTAGACGCTCACTTGTTGAGAACCTACTGTACATACAATCATGATTGTTTTGGCGGCGGCAGTTTGCGCCTGGCTCACAGTTACCGCTAACTTCTTAACGTTTCGCATTTGCTGATGTAATTGATGACTTTATTTCTGTTTATCGACATGAATAGGGTGCTCGAGGGCGAAAGCCTCATTCCCTTAATAAACTGACTTAAACTGATTTAAACTGACTATCCGCAACTTCTGATAAAACTTAATGTATAACGGATTTTATTTTTGGTAGGCTGGTTTGGCTTTTCTAAAAGGTGTTTGAGTGTGAAAGTGCGTCCAGAATTGTAAGCATGTGCTATGTTTCTCAATAAACTTCTGTAAGCGTACGATGGCCGAAAGATCTAATTTGTCGACAGCAGTCCAACTAAGTCTACTGCTATCACTCCTTTCCCATTGTGGCGATTTTCGCGGTTCTTGATGTCAATTCCTAATTTTCGCCTCAGGCGGTCTGACGATGCTGACGGCAGAACCCTCTGTATTCGCCTTCTACTAGTAGTTTGGTCGTACCTCCATTCCCCACGCCTCGGCTGGGCTCGAGGCGTACTGTGGCCGATCGCGTCTGAGTTCCTTTCTTCTGGCCTCTTTGACGCGAATAGTCTCATTGGGCGTATCAGTCCTGCCCTGACGATGTCAGATCTGAATCCCATATACAATAACACATGCAAGCCAGTCCTGTCTGACCCGCATACGTACCTCTCAAGGCTGACGTTATATCTGCCCTGACGATGTCCGATTATAGTCCGTCATATATCGCCACATGCAGGATTGTCCTGAGCGAATTTTTCTGCTATTGTTTTTAATCAAGCGATTTGATTCTCCCGTAAAATCAATCCAATCATTTTACAATTTTTAAGTGGAGTTTTTTCACCCGCTGCAGATCATTCTTCTCAACGGACTGCCAATTCCGAAACTATGCATTGCGCCCAATTCGTTTTAAATTGTATGCAAATCTTTGTTAACTTTACTTGATGGGACACCGACGGGTCTATAGCCAAAATTATTATTATTATTATTATTATTATTATTATTATTGAAAAGCCGTTTTTTGGAATGTTTCTGTATAATTTTGTTTTAAGTAAGACAGGGTTCTTGTACTACTGGAAACGAGAACAGCGCTCCGATCGTCACCAGTTGGATAGGGCGCAAAGTGCTACGGCTTTTACGATGCCAATCCTCGAGGTAATAATGAAGATTTGGGGTTAGGTGAGCAGCAAAATGTTTGCGGGACGATTAAAAGTTAGTTTTGACCTTGTCAGCCACAGATTTTACACATATTTTCATGGATCTTGACCTATTCCTGCTACTGGAACATGGCAAACGATAAACTACATGTGCTTTATGGAGTATACCTATTACGGTCGCATGCGCGTGAATAGTTTTGCAGCTTTTCACACTAGATAAGGACTTACCAAACCTCTCCCTACCGCACCCATTTCTGATTTGAGACAGTGTTATGACAAGTGGAAGCTACGTGGGGCGAATGGGCTAACAATGCAAATAGCGTATTTGTGTATGTCCAACAAAACCTATTTTCCGACTTTCATGAAGGTGGTTGGGTTCTCACATGCAAGTGTCATAGGGACCCATTTCAGGAAATCGCACATAGTCTGACACACCCCTCTGAAAGGATTGTATAAGCAGTGTCATAGAAATGCTGTCCGGGATTGATGAGGAAAATGTAAGTTTAATCGACTCAGTATTCAGAAGAAAGCACAGCCTTCTCTTAAAAGTAGGTATACTATGTGACTGGAAGATTTAACCAGAGCAGAGTATATATGAAAGCGAAAAAGGGAGCGCGTAGATGTATAGATTTCAGGAAGATGTATATGCAAGGAAGAAATGTGAATATTGTGTTGGTAACTACTTGGGATATGGACTAAAATTAGAGGTTTTAAAGTACTATTAATGCGAAAGGCGAGACAGAAGCCTGCTTCTAGTCTGCAAACCCACAAAAGTTTAGGCTTGTTAACTGGCATCTATCTGAGTAGGAAATATTTCAATGCTCCATACTTAAGAATCTTTCAGCAAAATGTCGCAGAAATTTTCAATTTTTAGACCACTGACTTCGTTCTTTAAACCAACGAATGAGTAAAAATACAGGAGAATAGAAAGTGCAAACATTCGATAAAGTCTTAAATCAATTTCGGAAAGCAAGAAATTGTAATGACTAAAGCCACAAATCCGGGCAACTGCGGACCTAGTTCTGTCAGCGTGTGCCGAGATATCAAGCTTGTTTGGGAAGCTTAAACGTAAATCCTTGATACTTATCCATGCAGTCGTAGGTTTCTGTTAAAAGACCGCCGGTTGGGGTAGCCTTTCAGGTCAGAAACGCATATATCGACCTTTTGTCAGACAGAATCCCGTAAGCCATTTCAACCTCCACGCTCAAAGAATAAGCATTTAAACAGGTATTTGCTCTAGCCAAATGGAAAGCCGAATATGTATTGAATGAACATACACACTTCAGATCATTGGCATAAATAAATGATCAAGAGTGTTTACCTGCCGACTAGATATCATTTATGTAAAACAAGAACAACTGAGGGCCTAAAACGTAACCTTGTACGACCCGCAATAATTAATTACTCATTGGAAAAACAAGATCCTCCTCAAACCTTTTGTTTACGATTTGACAGTTATGACTCTATAAAGTGAATTAGAGTCTGTGAATTCCCACAGCTTATTATTTAACTAGGGGTCATCTATGTGCACTTTATCAAAGGCTTTACTAAGATTTAAATTGATTACGACAACAACATATGTATGATCATTACGAAGAGAAGTTAGTGGATTTAGAAACACCTTCGACAAGATCGATCGTGTAAAAGCCCATGTTTGGGGCGGGCTAATAATTTGACTGGTTATAAAAAATTCGGTTATTCATGGCGATAATTTTTTAAAGATTTTTACGATCCGGCCCAGACGATATCAGTTACGAATACCGTATACAATACTATATGCAGGTCAGCTCTGTCTGACACCCAAACCTACCCCTCCAGGCTGACATTTATTGCTGCCCGGACGATGTCCAACTATAATCACTTAGAAACCGCCATCTGCAGGCCAGTCCTGCCCGCGTTTTTCTGTTATTATATTTATTGGGGTTTTTTTCTCCTGTAAAATGAATCCAATCATGTTTAAATTTTTGTATGGAGTTTTTTTTACACCTCACTAATCATTTTTCGCAATAAACTATTTATTTAGAAACTTTGAATAGCATTTTGTAAAGATTCTGCCTATCTCGTTTAGAATTCGCATTTAAATTCAATCTTACTCCCTTTGATGGGACTCCGAGGGGTCTTAAAAAAATAATATTATCATTATCATTAGCATGAAGATGTTTTATGGACACGTCGATAGTTTTGAACATCAGAAGACAACTAGACTTAAATGCTAGGATTAGTAGTTAATGTTTCCTAATATTTAATAAATAAGCCAATTTCGAGGGAGATTAGAATTTTCTATGCAAAGGAGGAAAATTTAAAAGATGTTTTATAAGAGACTTTGGAATACCTTCTATTCCTACTGGGTGCGATGTAGTTTGCTCGTTTATAAATAGTTGCAGGAGCAAAGTTAATGGTGGTAAGGGAGGCATCACACAACGAACAACGTGAAGGGACGGGACCATTTTCAGTAGCGAAATGCTTGACAAAGAATGAATTTAGCATTTCTATTTTGCCTGACCACTTTTTAATGAGGGCATCAGTTCACTGTATTGTGGGCAATAAGCATAAGTCTTCGAGAACCCTTTGTGCAACGTAAAAAATGTGTGGTACATTGACAAGTATTCTTTGCTGACATAACAAATTATACTAGTTAAGTGCAGGCGCACAAAGTGTCACCCCAACACAAAGCCTAAACAATGGGCAACCCAGACGGAAGCACGCAATTAAGAAGACCCGTACGGAAGCGAAATGATATGGCTACCATGTTTTGTGTCAATAATGAATGCATCTGTATTTTAATTATAGGCCAACCCATCTAAACCATGGTCAATGGACTGGGCTGCGGCGGCCAAGTGCGAAAGACTTGATGACGCAGTGGACCGACTGCCTCGCTGAAAATGGACTAAACGAAACTCCCGAAGTTAGGGATCAGAAGAGGAGTTGACTCGACAGGGAAAACTGCATGCTAACCATGCACAGGCTTTTGAGGCAGTGCGCGCACGCAACTGACAAGGCGGTTGAAGTGAAGAAGAAAGTCATCCTGACTGCGCGTCTACATATTCACCCCTGGACATAATGCCAACCGAAATTAAGCTATACATACTAGGCAGTGTTTAGGCTGTGCTCGCATGCAAGTGGAATCATAAGAAGAAGAACGGTAAATCGCAACCCGCCTAAAATAAGTCTCTCGCCTTTTACTAAGGATTTCTGTGTGGGAGTGGGTGAAATACAATGAATCTATATAGACAATCTTGCAGCACCACGTTCTCGGAGCGGTTGAAGTTACGAAGGATGTCAACCATGACAGGGCCTCTGCGCGTTCAACAGAAGGAAGTAATCCTAACACGTCAGTCTTCGCATTCACTTATAACATATAATGAGGACGTAAGCACGGCGAGGCATGCAATTTTAGCCATAATGAGAAGCATCATGAATCGTAATCCGCCTAGAATAAGCCCCTCGCCTTTTCTTAAAGATTTCCGTGTGAGGAGGTGCAATAAAATGAATCTATCTAGCCAATCTTTCAGCACCACGTTCTCGGGGCGGTTAAAGTTTCGAAGAAAGTCATCCTGACAGGGCCTCTGCGCGTTCACCTTTTGCACACAACGAGGGCGTAATCACGGCTACTGAAATCATACCAGTAGGTACAATTGTAAAAACCGGGCGCAAGGCTGCCAACTACGCTCCTACCATTTACAAGCGACTGAAGAATCTCAAAAACTAGAAAAGGTATCATAAAGGTATCAAGTAATCGAAAAAGGCGTCCACTCTGTACAGATAAACAAACTTAATCGAACGTTATTGGTATGAGCAGTAGGACAGCGGTCGTTACCCAGTGTCGAATGTTGAATAGGTGGAAGCCAGTAGGCGTCGGCGATGGGAAGGAGACATCAAGACGTTTTATTTCAAATGTTACTGAAATCAAGAAAATAGTATTCTGGCAACGGTGTTTGTCAAGGCAAAGGAGGTCGGGTGGAAATTAAGTGGACGCTGCTATACAAAACAAGCTTCCTGTTAAGGACCTCGGCGTAAGCATACATAACCAAAATGGAACACTTCCCTTTGAAAGGACAAATCGCTATGCTCGCGCGAAGAGCATTTCGACGAAAAACGTCGTACGGGACTTGCAGGCCATGATGCTAAAATATAGCCAACCGCATGATCACCACCAACGACACATCTCTTATCCTTTCTGAGCCGGCAGTCACCGGGGCTCTTCCTTCTGATTATGTTTGGGCAACTCATTAGGATAGAAATGATCTCAGCTTTTGGTGCGGTTTTCGCTCATACAAGAAGTCTCCTATCATACAAATAGCAGGACATGAACCGTTGAACGGAAGGGTTTATTGTCATTCCATATGAGAGGGATAGATTTACTGCTACTAACGCCATAGGCGTAGCCACAAAATACTGACTAACGTCTGTCAGATGACAGACCCATAGTTATTACCGCCGACTAAATTTGTATTTTGTGACAGGCCTAGCAATTACCGCAGCAAGTAAAGTCAGTAGGAGGAAAAAGGTGTGCGTGTCTATATCTGGGCAGTGAATGCTGCGGATTCTGTGTGCAGAACTGCACTGGCCTTTACGTAGGTTTTTAATTTAACAACGACGGGGGCCATTGATTTTGCGCTTGCTAAGCATTTTGTTTGATTAGAAGAGGCCATAGGATATGACAGCGGTGGCCGGACGAATGTCTTGAGACAGCTTGATCAAGGCGTCATCTGAGGAGCTCACTCGGCACCACTTGAGATGGTCTCTTCTGGTCGATGAGCCATATTCCTTTTCAAGAATTCTCTCAGTATACCCGTTATTGCGAGGCAAGTCCTGGACCTTTCTTAGCTCCTCGTCGAAACTATCTGCAGAACAATTTTCAGTAGTTCATTGAGCCAAACACTGCATCAGATTTCGTGATTGTTGGAGGAATAGGCAACTGCCAAAAGCAGTTTATTGTCCAGGCTAGGGTTTTTTTCGATAGACGTTCATTCTGACGCTACCATTCTGCTCTCTTTCTAGAAGAACATCTAAGAAATAAAACGAACAAGTCGTTCTCGTCTCCAACGTAAATGTCATCGATTTACTGTGTTTAGAAGACAACTTCCTTACTGTCTGCGGCGACGGCGACTGCGAACATATCATCAAGGGAGAAACCGTAATGTTTTTATTTATTGATTAAGTAGCTCTGTTGAAATTACCCTAACTTGCCCATGAAATCATCAGCTAGGAGATGCCTAAAGGACGATCCCATAGAAAAGTCGTCTATCTATCCATGGACTTGGTTGTCAAAAACGAACTGCACATGTCATGTGCATCAGAGAAATATTTCCTTGAGTGTCATCGTCTGAATTTCTATTCGAATTGTCTCGCTAACCAGGGCGCTTGTAAAAAGTAGTGAGACGTCTAGCGAGAACATCACGATGCAGTTAAACTGACACATTTTACCGTTGTCATTGAATTTAAATGTGTCGCGATAACTGGGTAGAACTATGTGATGGTGTATGTGCTTGAGTGTCTCTGGTGACCACCTCGCTATCGCGCAGTTTCGGACGTCAACAGTCGCATTGATTGGCGTGCCGTCCTTACGAATCTTAGGTAACCTATACAGTCAAGAGATATGTGTGCCGACTGGTTTGAGGTGTTTAAGGTCAGGGACACCTATGAAACCCCCTGAGTGGAGCCTTCTTGGGCAGTCAGCCGCTTTTGACTCTGCTTCATCCGTGTAATGTCCTTCATTGTCTACCTTCCTGAAGTTCTTCTAGTTTGACAATGCGGATTGTTTCTTCGCTACATAGTCCTTTCTGTTCATTATTACGTTTTTCGTTTCATAATCAGTCCTAGTTACCTAGATATCTCTGTACTTTCGAAATGTCTCTAACTTCTGAATTTGCGCCTGTATCAACGATTCCCAGCATTTTTCGAGGTAACCATTGGGAGATGGCACCTAAAAAATCCTCTCAACAAAGAAATAATACCTACTCTATATATTTGAGTAGGTCATAGTCCGACGTATTTTTTGTGTCATCCGGGTTTGCCGATCACCAGCAACGACTCTTGAGGTTACCAGCGACAGCATTACTCAGTAGGTAGCTTTATCAAAAAGCGTCATAGTTGCGGTAAACCATCCTGCTATTACCAACATTGAAATAGGTTTCCAGAGCCGAATTATGACCGTGGCAGTCGGTTTGACCTTCAGACAACATGCTGACTGCGTTCGATAATGAAAACCTACACTTACACAGCCGCTAAGCATGAACACAGTCGGGGCGTTGGCATTGACAATACGGGAGTACTCAAGCGTTCAATCGCAGGAAACGCCAAACCACAAAACCAAGACCTACATAATAGCTATAGAGAGGTGCGAAACTATCGTCTTAGACCCTACCTTCCTTTTGCACCGGATGGCAGTTTAATTTAGGACAAATGGGATAAGATCGCAGTGAATCAAGTGTAGAGCACGCGATATGCTTTCATTGCTGAAGTGCAAGCACAGCAGCCGATATGTGTCATTGTACATACTGGCATTCCTTTGGCGCAGTCAGAGAGCGAACATTGCAGACCAAACGACTGCTTAACATCCATGTTGGAGGTTATTGCGGCCGACGAGTGCCACCATTAGAACTTTTTCGGCTAATTCATCCATAACATACTATGGCTTAGTCGCAAAAGGCTCACTGTGCATACCTTACCATTGTAGTGTAAGAATCGCCATAGACCGACCACACTTTTGATAACATTGTCATAAGGATCCACATTCGGGGCATCAGTCTAGACAAATTGATGGTACGCATTCCTGAACTTAGCAGTCTTCAATGAAAACTGCGGTGAGCATATAACGGAGTCTAGTCATAGTCCCTGCTTTCAACAGTGGCCTGAATTGTTGCCGGCATACCTGCACGCACTACTGTGACTTTCCACGACCGCCTACCATGGGCTGGCCTACGTTCGCATTATGTCTGGGAGTGCACGCGCAGAGGCGCTGTCAGCATGACTTTCTTTTTCACTTTCACCGCCACGAGAACGCGCCAGTGCAAATATGTCTATATAAATTCATTGCATTGCACCCCCCCAACATGGAAATCTTTAGTGAATGGCGTAAAACCTATCTAAGGCTTTGACAGGTTTCAGCCAAGTAGCTGTCCACCTACTTAGCCAATACGTCCTCATTCCCTTCGCGCTCGTACCCGTAACCCAAGTCGGTTGAACAGGCATAGGATCGGCATCAGTATCAAAGTTTAGCTTAATTCATTTTCCATATTTTAAAGGAAAGGCTTTAGCTATATGCGACAAAAAGAGTTCTCGGGCATTTTTTAGACACGTGGCGTTAATGTCAAATCAGAGCTCGACCGCAGACGGGGCCTCCTTCGTGTAACTTCCGCTTCAACCGACTTCAATACGCCTCCATGGCGTTAGTATGACGTCCAGTGGTAGGGTCCTTGAAGTGCTTGGAATGATTGACGGAAACATGAATATATCCTTCTGAAAAAATACGACTGTCAGCCTTTCACTCGTCCGTCACCATTGTACTTCCTTTGGCTACCAATTTCGTAATCACAGAACGCGTAGCATGCCAAATTCGATCGTTGGCTTGCTCAAATATTGCTTTGCACTTGCTCGTGTCGTACATCCCCAACAACCACCACTGCCTTTTCATTTTGCCAACATTATACTTTCATCGACTTATTAAGGTTTAGTCGACTTGCACTTCCACACCAGGTCCTCCTATTTTCTTCAATTGCTTGAGGAGCGCTGCTGAGCAAACCTTCTGACACTGGGCATACCACTGAACCGCTGTCCAGTTGTTAACACCAATGTCATTGGCACATTCGTCAATCCGGATTCCTTTCATAAACCAGAGGACAATCTTCAGGATAGTCGCTAACGTACCGACTATTTTCAAATATAATTCCCGCTCTTACCGATTTCCTCTTCCGGCATAGAGGACATCGAAAAGCAACACCGTCCGAATACCGACTGCGTCCTTCCAGTTTCATTCACTGTCGGCACTTGCACATCATCTGCATAGGCAACAATTTTCTCCGCTGGCAATATTCGATCCCATTTTCCGATTAAATCGCATCCAATATTTGCTCCGTTTGGCTTAAATGGGTTATGATAGTTCGCGGTTTCCGTTTTTTGCTTGCGTCTACCGATCTACAAAACAAAAATAAGATTTACATTTGTTAAAAATATCCTTATTGCATATTCTTTGCTATGGGAACATACTAAACATGTATTAAATTTAGGACATACTATTCCATCGTTGGTTATTTATCCAAAACACATTTACTGTGTTATTTCGTTTCTCTCGATAAGTGCTTCAAAGGTACTGAAGCGCATAACGTTAGACGTCATGGTACACAAGTTCACTAACTATCAAAAACGACAGCCCACCGACCAAGTTTACTTGTTCAACATTCGTTACGGTTTCTTGGACGTCTGATCGCAGGCGCTAATTTGGTCCGCGGGTTGCTTAAAATGATACATGTGTATAGCATTGCTTTTTGTTTACTTTTCCTTTACCGCGCCTACTCCCGTTCCCAATTAGTGATGAAGTAAAACTTTATCATTTAGAGGGGAATAAAACTACATAAATCAACTGCTAAAGCACAGATATCGTGGGTGGTATGTCAACACTATTGTTGCATCAATTGCACAAATGGATTGTTTCAGATAATTACACCACGGTCAGAGACTTCAGAGGCGTTAAAGTCGGGGACTAGATAATTGAATGAGGATCATTCATCCATCTTACTATCCGGACCTCACAAGGTCAAAGAAACTCAAAGACCTAATTTATAATAAGAAATGCAACAGAATCATGAAAAATCTCTAATTCAGATCTATTTTGTCCTATGTCTAGAGTATGAAATTGAGAAAATTGCTGTTCGGGAAAATTTGTTGAAGTTCGTTACTCACAGGTGTAAAGCTGCAGCTAATTTACTGTGCTGAGTAATATTTGTTTAAACACTTCCATGTGGAAAGTGTGCAGTCCGTTTCTGACTTAATGGACAAAAACTTAAATTTTTATGTGAAACATAAAGGCCATTGTGTGGATGTGTGACATTTGAAAATGAACTTCGCTGAAATCCCAAAAAAGTTGACTACTGCCAAGCCGCCGCAAATGACCACGATGTTTCCACTAGATCACTCTCGTCGCTTACTCGCTGCGAGCAAGTAACCCTCAAGTGCAACCTCAGCAGCAATTTGACAGATGGCGCGAGGCGGACAAGATATCAGCGTTACAAATCGGCGGAAAGCAAGGAAGTTCGGACTGTCACGGATGAAGTTAAACTACCTACCGCGGCTGAACTGAGCTATCGCAAATTTCAGACTCGACTGGCTCCCCTTGTTTATCATGTGTCAGTCATCATGTCTTGGAATAGAAAACACAGTTTCCGACACCCTGGCGCGATTCTAGGTGGACAGTATCAACAAAACATAGCCATACTTGTCAAGCCCAATCTAAAAGCATAATAAAAAAACCCCAATGTGTTCCTATCTGAACGCTTTTTTTCGCGGCAGTCCCTTGCCCATTGCCAATGATGTCGTCATTTGCGGCTTCATTTCATATGCTCAGAATGTTACTGTATATTCAGGGGTGAAATTTCACATCTGTTTTTGTTTCTGGACGATGGTGACCCATTTGTCTGGCGCATTCGTTTGACTCAGTCCTCATCGGGGTGCACCGTACTCAAATCGCGACGGGGTGTCGGCAACTGTGTATTCTTATATATTTGCATGGTGAGTGACACAGTCATAACAGCAGAATGAAGTCGTGTGCAAATTTTGTGGCAGTTAAATTCAACCGCGTCTGGAGGTTGCACTTAGATAACGTCGGTGTAGGCAGTTTGTGGTCACTTGGAGGAGCAGTTCGCAGCCTGTGCGCAGTGCGCTACAAGCATCGGGTCATGTTTAATGTAGCAAGAAGAAGACAGCGGATACCAGCATGAGGGGTCTAATGTGCGCAGAGCCAAGAGTTGTCCTCCCATGCGGCAGTGGCCTGGTGGCCCCGACGTGGTCGAAGCTCAACTTCCAGACGTGGTCGACCTGAACCTTCGAAAAACCCCCAACTTATCTCCCCTTGCTGTTTTTCATGTGATGCTCATAGTGTCGACAGTTAGGAAAACGTAGCTGTGGACATCCTGTGTTGCCTCTCTTAGTCCGAGACATTCCTCTGATCATTACCATCGGCACCATCATTCGTGAGTGATTATTATACGCTCAATATACTACCGTGTATTTAACGGCAAACCCTCATACTTTTGACACTGTAATGTATCCCTATTTCGTGTCTGCATGACAGTAAACATATTTAAATGACGCATTCGTCCGACTAAGCACTCACTGTGATACATTGTCTACAAAACTTCCTCCCGTCTCATACCAACGTGCTACTTCACTGGCACACATTTACGAGACTACGTCAACACGAACCTATGGCTTATGGCACAAATGCATGTGATTCGTATATGCGTTTAACCAGATTATGGGTAGTATAGGATTCCCAGCGTATTAAACTGTGAATTATTTGTGCAGTTTTCAGCGTAGTATTTAAGCGTTCTGTATGCATCGATAAATTGCAGCTCGTTTATGAAGCAAATAATGCTTACTGATTGCGCGTGCTACTGTCGTAAAACGTAAAAAACTGATTTCAATTCTTCCATGAGAGTTTGCAACTATAAGATTGTTTCAACTGTCACAAATAAGAAAATATACATGAACTCAGAGCAACAGAGGACAACACATGTACTGCAGAAGGAAACGCTATAGTCAGCTGTATATTTGTTAAGTACCTGTGATTTATGTATTTGTTTAACTTGGATAACGCGCGTTCCGAGTCCTCATCAAGGTAAATAGCAAGTTATTTCTGCCAGTGCGGTGGGCACATCCTTATGGTTGTGTATTTATTTATATTTCGTATTTAAGGCTGAAATGAATAAAATATGTTATTGCTTGCAAAAAGGCCTTTTATTGTTTTCTTGGAAGTTGGTCTTTATAAACCTGCTCCGAATGTCATAAATGAGAAAATTTGGAGCAATAAATTCCAGCAGAGGACAGCCGAACATGAGCTGGGGAAGGAAACGCGGTAACCTGCATACACTTTATAGAGGGAGTCACGTGGGGAAACAGTAAATGTCACAGTGTCATTTTCAGTCAACGTGCCAACAAATTGTAGTGTCGAACTATTCGCGTGCCCTGTCAGCAAGACTGCAGCCTTCCCCATGTACCGTTTGTCATCTGTAGACATTTTGGAAAAAAGGAAATTGGGTGATTTAATAGTAGATTTAGACCGCCAACGCAGGCCGCTGCATGATTTTGCACGCATACGTGTAGAATGTATTCTAACAATGGCACATGCTAGGTTCCAAAAGCAGGACGAATATGCGTCTTCAATGATTGTTTAAAGAGATTTCTCTCGAATTTGAATTGCTTATTTTATTAAGGCAATTTTATGCATCAGTACATGTATGTGTGCTATCATCCTCCATCAAGTTCAGTTTAGTTCAATTTATTTGACGGAAATATAGGTGCGGAACCTTTCAACTCCATATTTCTTAAAAGGAAGCGAATTATATCAAAAAATTGTAAATGGAAACACCAAACAGCTACAGAAATTCTTCAGATTGACAAAGTTTTCGAAGCCAGATAGATAAACGAATTGTTTCAAGAGTTAAAAACATTACCGTTACTAAATGTGCTGTACAGAAGTCTGTCTATGGATAGTTGGAGCTATCTCAGTTTCTGAGGGAGACGAATGAAATGCCAACATACATTAAACAGACAGGCCAATAATAAAAAGCAAACACTGCTTAAATACAGTCAGTAATATAACAACATTAATGAACTGTTCGAACGAAATTATGGACGTTGTAGGTCAGATGGCATTATGCGTTTGTTGTCACACTGGTCCAAATTGCGCTTAAAAGTCTCGACGGAGGTGGACATGACGACACCTGTAGGCAGAGTATTCTAGGTCTCGATCACTCTGTTCGAAAAGAAGAACTTCCGAATTTGCAGCTTGGCGCCAGTTACGCGTACTTTAAGTGGATGACCTCCGAGGTTCGTCGTGGTCGCTAACGCAAAGAAATCAGCCGGTACGAGACAGCAGTCGTGCCCGTGCAGTATACGGAATGTTTGTTTAAGGTCGCCTCTTTGCTGTCTGGAACTTAATGAAAAAATGCCGAGATTGGACAGCCGTGTTTCACAGGGTAGTGAATTCTGTCCGCTTACGACTTTGGTTGCCCCCCTTTGAACTTGCTCAAGGATGCTGAGATCTTTCGAGGTCCAGAATTTCCACGCTTGAATAGCCTATTCTAGCTGCGGCCGTACGAAAGTCCGAAAGACTCTAACGAAACAGTCCTCATCGAAGGTAGAGTAAGCTTTTTGACAAGATAAAGGGCTGATATCTCAGAATTGGCTTCCTTGGAGCAGTGGATCGATGGCTTTAGAGAAGCCGTTACCTACGCACCCAAGTCTTTCTGGGCGTCTACCTCCTGCATTGATACGCCATTTATGTGGTAAACCATCCGGCCCAGAGTTCGGGCCATGCTGACTCGCAAAACGGCAAAACCAGTCCTGTGACCATTTTTCGAGTCGGGTCCAGTATGCCTGCAAGCGCTTTTCGTCAAACTCAGTTCGGATGATGCTCGAAAGTTTAAAATCATTACCAAAAATGGCGACATCACAATTCAGTTCACTGACGCAGTCGTTAACGTATATAATTAATAGGTTAGAGCCAAGAACGGAGCCGTGTGAAACTTCGATTTTAACCGCTACCTCCGCCGACTGCCTAGAAATGTACCTTTTTTGACGAAAAATATTCTAAAAATGATGTGAACTTTGTTTTTTCGGCTGAGATGACTCCTACATATCGAACAAAAATATTATTTTGTTAACTATGGGGTCGTTGATATGCACATAGTTCAGCCGCTCAAAGATAGTTTAATACAGCGTATAAGTCACATTTACGCAGATTAAGTTGGTTTAAAGATTCCCACAAAACAATTCAAACGTCGCTTACTGTAGGGGATCGTTAAGAGGCGTTTGCCGTCCTGCAATTTGTTCGTGTCCTCTATTTCTATATCACCATTAACGCTTGTGTTCTGAAAGGTCAAAGGTGCAAACAATATTAGGTGCCACGTTTGTTTGAAAATAAAAACACTTCTGCGCGTTTAAAACATCATTTTTACGAACAAAATCAGCCTACCCGGACATCCCCTTCATATATTAGAAATAGCGCAATATGATCTTTGGTATTCAGTTCAATGACTCCACCGTTTACAACTCCTAATGGCAACGGAGGATCTGGAGGCAAACGTAGCATTATTAAATTATGAAACTGTACGTTTATTGGAAAAACGGATGCGGAATTTTGTTAAGTATCTGCATGCATTAAGATAATTTCAGACTGCCTGTACGCCTGAAAGCATTAATCAGGAACAATGAGCATAATAGATATAAGTTAACATTTGAACTAGTTCATTCCCTAAATCGCCTTGTCGGAAAATATGTCTCTTTTATCTGCCAAAAGTAAGTTACGACAAAGACAGCACCGCGCGCTGTCAACAAATTTATTCACAGAAGACCAGGTCACAGTTTAAATTGTTGTGCTCTCTGGGTGCTTATATGCACCGGGACATTCAAACTATTACAATGAAGCCCGGGGAAAAATTATGGCAACCAAACGCCACATGTGGTCATTAGTTAATGTCTTCCAGGAAATGCGTGAAGACGAACATAATGATTTTAATCGAGGTCTCAATGTCTCTAAAAATCTTCTCCTTATGCCCATAATATTATTCAGTTAGGAAAATTTATATTTACGCGAATCATGTAGCCATCGGTCGATCAGCACAAAATAGACCAAACTTGCCAGGTTGAGTTCCATTTGCGTCCTTGATAATTATCGTCGAGGACCGTTTGTTTTCGTTTCGCGGGGTTAAAATGATAGTGCCATTTCCAGACACGTTTTCGGAATCAAGAATTGAATACTGTGTATCTGCAATGTGATTAAACGGGGCTTTTATTCAGAAGAATTTAGGGTTATGATATCGCAGTTGCGTTGTTATTACTTAATAAATAGTACTGCGTGTGTTAAATAAAATCTTACCATTTAGCGTTTGCCAGCACATAACGCCTATTGTGCACGGTTGGAGTGCGGAACCATTAGGAACTGCTGAACCGTTTAATGTGAGCGACTAAAACAGATACGCAACAGCTTATAATTCTGTTTGAAACATTGCGGCGAAGGCATTTTAGGAAGGGTCAATCTTACCAAAAGTGGGGTTGGAGGGGCTACGACTACGGTAAAATTCGTATTCGCTTTTATATCAAGGCTATATTTAGGTCCAGCTGAAAAATTACGAAGAAAGCACAAAATTATGTCATCTTGATCAAAGGAAATATTTATAATAAGAAAAGTTAAAAGCGTGGACTTTGTGGCATGTAGAAACTTCTTCTAACGGACTTACCCACTGCTGTAGACATAACCGTGGAAAGAACAGCAAATATAATCTTCATCATTAAGTCGCCGTTATAATTTTTTCTATCGACAGTTATAAGCAGACAGGTGTATTTTCACCAGTTGTCGCAGCAAGTCTGGATGAAAATTTGTTTCAAATTATACAACTTCTGGTTCCCTTCTCATTTATATACGTACCCAGGTCTCCTGAAAGGCTAGCAGAACATGACGTCAACTCGCATAAAAAACACAGAATAATAAAGTTGGCATGGTAATTGTGTGCACATGATGCAGTAGGTCGTAAACCGCAAATGTAGCATGAGCGCAAATCTGTCGACATGGGCACCAGCTTAGTGTTTTATGCATAAGAAGTTTCTCACATCTTAGATCACTCATGAGTGCTACACGAAACTTGAGAAAACTATAGGGAGTGGTAATTAGAGACGTTAGCAGATTCCATTAGGTCAATGGAGAAGAATGATTGAACATGATCTAAATTATTTTAAGCGCATTAATTTCCTAAAACTTAAACATCTATAAATTAATAACGTCTTGGGACATACACACTTGTGCCAGCAAGTGCACTTAATAAGAGAAAATACGGAAATGCTATGCTGTCAGACAACCCTGTCACAAGCTCTGTTCCTGCCGTGCCCGATTCCAACCTCAAGTAATGACAATAGTCGCCCCATATCCCTAGTAACAGTGTTGCGTACTAAGTGTACTTAACCCAAGAACATTAACAAAAGACTCTCTTACCTCCTCCACTAGCTCTGAGTACCAGCACTCGCCGACCTTGGCATTCGGGCAGCTTGAAGAAGAACAGTATTAATGACTTAATGGCCCTTGAGACACATATAAACACTGTTCATTTTGAATATTTTCATTTGTTCATGTAACTGTATTTGCGTGACGAAGAATAACCGAAAACGCGTGTTTGTCAAAATGAATTTTCAAGTTCAGTATGGAGATTATTTAAAAAATGAAATAAAAATGTTTGCATCATGTGTAAAAGTGCGTACATTCGACCCACGATAATCCAATGACTGGGAAACGACATAGGTTATAGCAGCTGAATTATATTACTGAAACGGACATTTCTGGCTTAATATCCGTCATCAGTCAATCATACCCAACCCCAAAATGTGAAACACCCGAGGCTCGAACTCCCGACTTGTTTGTTAAAAGTGCACTCCTCTAACTAATGGGTCACGAGGCCGTTTCTCTGTCGTTTTCCGATCGAGAATATATAATGGTAGGCGGCAGTGACTGATAGTTCTTACGGAACTCACTCGTTCCGTTGAGCTTTATGAACTCTCTCTCGGGCCCCCTTCGATTGTGCATTCCCGATCGAAACCGATAGAGCAACGGGCTCGTGGTCCAGTGGCTAGAGACATGGACTTCTGAATAACAGTTCACGAGTTCGAGCTTCGGGTGTTGCACACTCTTTGTTTGGGACTAACTGGATGATGACGGCTAATAAACCAGAAGTGGCCATTCAAGTCTCCAATGCCTTTTTCCGTAATATCATTCTGCCTAGATCATGCGCCGCTCTGTGTATGCTGGCTGGGCTTGAGAAAGAGTCCATAAGGCACAACCGTACGAGTGAGTTACGTACTAACGAGCAGTTAGCGCCCAATACCACTATAAGTAATATCATTAGAAAACGAACACTGCAAATAGAGAGAAACGCCTGTATCCTCGGGTGAATTGCGACTTTTGATCGTTAATATCTTTAATT